TAAGGAACTTTGGCATCAAAGATATGGACATTTAAATTATAATTCTTTGTTGAAAATTAGAAATTTAAATTTAGTAAATGGTCTGCAATTTGCAAATTCGGATACTGAAAAAATCTGTGAAATTTGTATTAAGAGCAAACAAAAATGTTTTCCATACTATTCTAAGACATCAAGGTCAAATAGGGTTCTTGAATTGGTGCATACAGATGTATGTGGTCCAATCACACCTACATCACGTAATGATAATTCCTATTTTGTAACGTTTGTGGATGATTATTCCAGATTTGTAATGGTATATATTATTAAACATAAAAACGAGGTTTTTAATTGTTTTAAAGATTATGAAGCTAAGGTGGCATCTTTATTTTGTAATAAGAGAATTTCAAAAATTAAATGCGATAATGGAGGGGAATATTGTTCAGGAGATTTATTAAATTTTTGTTCCAAAAAGGGGATTCAGGTAAGTTATACTCCTCCATATACTCCCCAACTTAATGGTGTTGCGGAGAGGATGAACCAGACATTAATGGACAAAGCCAGATCAATGATTATGCAAGCAAAAATGGAAAAGATATTTTGGGAAGATGCTGTCCTTGTAGCTGCCTATATTACAAATCGAACTCAATCATGTATTGTAAGAGGAAAAACTCCCTATGAATTGTGGACTAGAAAAAAGCCGAACGTGTCGAATATGAAAGTTTTTGGGTGCATTGCCTATGCGCGAGTGCCTGATTCTCTGAGAAAGAAATTGGACGATAAAGGTTTAAAATGTAGATTTATTGGATATACAGAAAACGGATACAGATTATGGAATGCAGAAGAATACAAATCAATTCATTGTAGGAATGTTGTATTTGATGAGAACACTTTTGAAAATAGTACTGAAAGATCTGAAATGAGAAATTATGATTTAAATAAGCCAAATGACAGTGATGATAGTGATGATGAAGATGAAAATGAAAATAGTGAAAAAATAGAGGAAAATGAGAATCAAGAAGAAAATAGTGTAAATAATGAAGGAATAGAAACAGAAATTATGAGAGAACAGGAAAACACAAGATCAAGACGACAAACAAAAATACCGATACGATTTAAAGATTATGACTTAGATATAAGCTGTTTAGCTTTACTAAGTGAATTTACAGATGCACCACAATCATATTTGCAAGCAAAAGAAAGTTCAAAAAGCAATTATTGGGAAAAGGCCATTGAAGATGAATTAACTGCATTACAGGACAATGAAACTTGGCAGTTGGTGGATAATCCAGAAAAAGAAGAAGTAATAAGTAATAGATGGGTCTTTAGAGTCAAGGAAGATGATGAAGGTAAGTGTATGTATAAAGCTCGATTAGTTGCTCGAGGTTTCGAACAACATGATTTTGGTGATTATGGACAAATACATGCTCCAGTTGCAAGACTTTCAACATTAAGAATTTTATTATCAATTTGTAACAACTATGATTTAGTTTTGGAACAGTTAGATGTAAAAAATGCTTTTTTACACAGTAATTTAAAGGAAAAAGTTTTCATGAAAATCCCAGAAGGTCTTAAAGTTTCAGAAAAAGACAGAGGTAAAGTATGTTTACTGAAAAGAGCTATATATGGTTTAAAACAGGCCCCTAAAGCTTGGAACGAAAAGTTTAATGATTTCATGACAAATTTACAATTTGAACGTTCAAGATCTGATTATTGTTTATATACTTTTATTGATCAAAATGTAAGATGCTACTTGCTTCTGTATGTTGATGACATTTTGATTGCATGTGATAATCAAATTTTTTTGAATTATTTAAAATTAAAATTGTGTGAAACTTTCAAAATTAAAAAAATGATAAATGATCAGTTTGATTTTTTAGGAATAAAGATATGTAGAGATTTGAAAAACAAAGTTATTAGCATGGATCAAATTTCAGCAATTAAAAATTTAATCAAAAAATTTAATGTAGAAAATTGTAAGAATTATAAAACTCCTGTTGAAAAAAATTTAAGTTTAAAAAGAAATACTAATGAAGATATCAAAACAAAATTGCCATATAAAGAATTATTAGGTAGTCTTATGTACATAATGATGGGCACAAGACCAGATATTTGTTTTGGTGTCAGTTATTTTGGACAATTTCAAGACTGTGCCACTGATGAACATTTCAAGCATCTTTTAAGAGTATTGAAATACTTGAAATTTTCTATTGAGTATAAGTTATATTTTTATCATTCTAATGACAGCTTGGTTGGATATTCTGATGCTGACTGGGCTAATGATATTGTCGATAGAAAGTCTATAAGTGGGTATTGTTTCAAGTTATTTGGTAATTTGATTTCATGGAGTTCAAGGAAACAACCATTTGTAACTTTATCAAGTACCGAGTCAGAATTTGTAGCAATTTGTGTTGCCTCATGTGAACTATTGTATATTAAGAATTTATTGTTTGATTTGAAAATTAATTTATCATTACCATTTTGTCTATATGAAGATAATCAAAGTACAATGAAACTTCTCGAAAATTTTGAAAACAATAAACGCTGTAAACATATTGATGTTAAATTACATTTTGTATTGGATTTGATAAATAACAATACCATAAGGATTGAATATGTTTGTACAAATGAACAGTTAGCAGACATATTCACAAAATCTTTATGCAATGAAAAATTTTCTAAGTTTGTAAAAATGTTAAATTTATGTTAAAAATCATAACTATTTTTGTAAGACTAAAAAAAAAACATTGTATAGGTTTGAGGGAGGGTGTTAAATATAAGATTAGTTTGGAGTAGTTCGGAGTAAGTCGAGCAAACCTATAAAATGTTGACTTGGCAACACTGTGTAGAAACATCGTTTTTGTTATGTCAACTATGTCAAGTTAGTTTAGTAGTCAGCTGTGATATAGTTGAAAAGTTGCAAGTCATGCTGTAACATTAAAAATTAATTAATAAAAAGTTCTTTGTTCTATGCCTCATGTTTTATTGATGAATGGAAATATAAATTAGAGCACATTCTTCTTATCGCTTCCTAATTAGAACCTAACATATGCGGATATAAGAAAATGCTCTTTTTGCGTCTTCTTTTTTGAAATACTAATTGACTAGCAGAATTTCGAGTCCTCCTATCATGAATCGTGGCTATTATAACAATCTCTTCTTGCAAAATTTCATCTTGTAATAATAATAAAGCCAAAGCTAATTTCTTTATTGATATACTCATCGCGACGATCGGGACGCAACTGACAATCCTAGGAAAACACTTTTACGCAGCGCATTGGATGTTGCGTTGCGTCGGCCGTATTACGTTCTACGCCGCGTAAAATGTGCGTTGCTAGGAAAACGCTACTTTAGTTAGTAATTTTTCTACTACTTTAGAGATTGTAGACAATAGTGAGATGGGGCGGTAGTTAGATGGATTTTTTTTGTCACCACTTTTGTGGATTGGAACGATTAAGGCTTCTTTAAGACTAGTGGGAAACGAGCCATCAGAAAATGATTTATTTATCGCCTGTGCTAATATATTGAAGGCTTGGTCTAGTAGTTCCCGAAGTATTTTTGTTGAAATGCCGTCTGAGCCAGCAGCAGTTTGGTTTTATTTCTTGTGTATCTGTAGGAAAGAAAACAAAGGAGTTTTGTACCCCTAAGCCTTCCAGGTAAATCGTAAATCATAGGATCAGTATCAGAATTATTGGTGCTGGTGAGATTGCTGGCAACCGAACAATAATAGTTGTTAAGTTCTTCTAGTTTTATATCAATTTCAGTTGGTTTTGAGAGCAGTGCGAACAACATATATATCCCTATCATGTAATATGCAATAGCTTTGTTTTGATTCGAAATTTGGAACGTCTGGAATTGCGCAGAACTGCTTGCGCCAAAAAAATAATAGAGGACTGTGTTGTAATCTAGTTCTGAACCGATTCGGAACCAAAAAAACCAAAACAAGCCACAAATCACAAAATTCCTAAAACAGTTCCTCCTTCAAAGCAAGAACTGAGAGAACCGTTCTAGAACAGTCCCAGAACTATTCTACAAACCTTGCGTTCGGTATTTTGCTCGAAGAGCAGAGCGTGCAGAGCGGAGCCGTAACCACGTGACCAGCGAGCGAACAGAGCAGTTGAACGCAGTATAAAAGTGCCAGAAATTTTAATAAACGAACGCGAATGAGGATACACCGAGTACACTTTTTGAATAAACGAACGGTAAAGTCAAGCTCGGAGAACTCAGACCAAAATAACGAACGCACGGATAGTTCTAGATAAAGCAAACTGTCAACACAGTTCGATTGCGATTCTGAAAAAACGCATTTTATAATATGCGCATGTGCAGAATGATTTCGAACTAGTTCTGAGTGAAACCAAAACAAAAACCGAATTTTCGCGACGAACTACTTCCCTGATTCCATGAACTCAAACGCTTGCGCGAGAAACTCATAACGTCATATTAAACGTAGTTCGCCGGAAGCATGGACGCAACTTCAAGCTAGCGTTTAAACTCATGACGTCACAAATGATCTATTGAGTTGTATTCCTTTCAAGAGTTTGAAACACTCGAGCTACTCGCTCCGGTGTTCAGTCGCCCCCGATTTGCAGGGAACAGATGCGTGGTGCAACAAACACTTTTCGAAAGGAATAAGCGCGTGAAGCCCCGGAGCTGTTCCGGAGCTCTTCCTAGGTGTGAAAGGAATACAACTATTTATGAACATTCGTCGCGAAAATTCGGTTAAAGGTTAAAGCTAGTGTTGTTCACAGATTTGTTTATAGATGTCGCCCATTTCGAAGTTTGGTACAGAGGTACAGTGAAGTTTAGAACGTAACGACGCCATTATTAGTAATAATTATTTTGAATCCAAATTTTGGAAAGAAGAAACAAAAAAGTGTCTAAATTTCCACAATTTTATTTATTTGAAGCCGCAACCTGTTTCAGCGCACGGCGCCTTCTTCCGTTACGAAGCGAACGTAGCGACATTTTCGGTTATAACAAAAGTTGACTTGGCAACGTTGTCTCTCTCCTCCGCGTGCTTTGGCTTGGTCCTTGCCTTGCTTGCTCCTTGCTCGTATAATCGCGAAAGCCGACCTTATTGCGACGTCGATTCGGTCAATGATTGTGTGAATAACAACGGCTGAGTAGCCAAAAACAAATCTTCCAACATCTAAAAGTTGCGAAGACTTTTTCAAACTTTTACCATCATGGAGAATTCCTACGGGATTGGCGTAGCCAATAGGTACGCACTTTTCCTGGACGATGAATCCGATCCACTGGAAACTCTGTTTCAAAAGGAGCAGGAGAAAGAGTTGAAGAAAAAGACCAAAGTTGCCGAAAAGGAAAACAAGGGGAAAGTTGAACCACCTAAAGGCAAGCCGGCTCCTATTATTCAGAAAAAGCCTGTTAAGGATACGCCAATTATTAAAAACCAGGACAACAAACGCGATGGTAAGTTTCCAAACATTATGTAAATCAAAAAAACCGACCGCCATTCCTTTACCCATCTAATATTGCAGCGCACATGTGTTAATATAATGTAGATTTTAATGTGCTATTCCCACTATTACTTGTTTTATTCTTGAAAACTGTTTTTATAGAAAACAAACCAAGTCAGAGGGCCAATGCCAATGGAAAACCAGAACGTAGCATCAACAAATTTAGCAATAATGAAAACCGCGAAGAACGAAATAACCGAAGAAATCGCGAGGACCGACCCTATACTGGACCTTCAGAAAATCGGTAAGCATCAACACTATTTTAAATTAAATTTATGTTATGTGGAACACAAGTTTGAGTTTGTATTTCTTAATTTGGTGATCTAGGTATTGTTTTGCGTTGCTATTTTAAAATACATATTGCTATAATTAAATCTCAACGCACAAATGTACATTTTTATTGTCTATGCTTTTTTTTCTATTTTAATAAAATACACTCCGGTTTCAAAATCAAAATTTTAGCATCGTAGATCCTTAGCAACAGTGTAAGGATTTTATCTTTCTATTTTTAGTTATATGTATTTTACTAACCTTGGCATAAATTTAAAGCCATGTCTATAGTAGGTAGGTATCTACCTACCGCACATGATAGGGTATAAGGTTTATTTTTTTTACCACATAGGAAAGATAAGTAGAGAAAATATTAGAATGTGCTTAGGTTTAATTAGCCATAGAGATTGATGACGGTTCTATCTTCTGATCTTGTGCGCTCGAGCTCCCAAGTTGAATGACCAGAACCCTAACCTTTATCTAGGTATTGTGTTTACAAAGAAGTACTTGTACAAAATTTTTATTTAAGAACCTTCATTATATTTCTGTGAGAAACAGTTTTTGGAAGGCGCTTGCCAAATATGAAGCTCTATGAATTATTATTTTCCAAGAAATTTAAAATTGAAAATCATCAACATTTCCAAATTTTAGAAATGATTTCGATTGGTTTAAGTCACAGCATAGTAAAATATGTTACCAGCGTTGTCTGATTTTTTCATCATTTCATTCCTGGGTGAAATAAGTGTAATGCATTTATTTGGAAAAGAAAATAGCATATTTTGTGTGACTTAGCATTTGAAATAAATAGGAAAATAAGCATTTATTATGTTGAATATAATAAAGAATAAATAAATAAGCATTAAACAGCAGTTAACGTTTTATTGCAAATAGTTACCTTTGGTATGGTTTTCGTGACTGCACAAAATTGTACCATTCGAACATTAGAAAACAACGCAATTTACTATATAACAATGTCACAACAAAATAGCCGTTTACGCGCGCGTTTGAATTTTTTGAATTTAATTCAAAATATATCTAGGAAAAAATTTAAGGGATGCTATGATTTTTTCCTCACAGAATTAAAAAAAAAAACATATGATCCAAAAACGTTCATAATTACCCTATTTACAAACAAGAAAAGATACCTAAATGAAATTGTCAATTTGGAAGTTTTTATTCGAACTCGAAAGGGTTTATCCTTGCCAAGGTGAGTGCATCATAATAACAAACATTTACCTATTTAATAAAATATTGAAATTTGATTGCAAGTAAACTCAAATTGGGTAGGTATATTTTGTTTCGTAATCAAAATCCTACTGTCATTTTAGTGCTACAACTAAGATTCCCAAATTCAAAATTTAACATATTCCTGTTTTTGTTTTTTTTTTATTTATTTATTTCTGACCTTGAAACAGACTTACATCTGGTATTAAGGCCTAAACAATAATTTAATATAAGCTAGAGTTAGGTTAGGTTAATAGAGAGTTATTGGACGTGAAATAAGGACAAGCAGTATTTAAATTAGCCTTATTTTGACATCTACGCATGCGCATTTGACTCCGAAAATAAGGATTCCCTTAATAAGCTTACTGCTTGACTTTATTTATGTATGGTTAGTGCGAGGCACTAAACTTCCCTTATTCAAAATTTCTGACATTTTGGACGACTTTGACGTTTAGCTTTTCGATGATGACGTAATTTTACTTAGAAAATTAATTTTTTACAATAGTTTTCCATTTTACTGTGGGTAACATCAAAAAATAGGTATCAGCAGAAAATCACAAACAAAAATAAACACTTTTTGAGGCTAAAATTTATAAACATAGCTATCAGCTGTCAAAATTATAAATACAAAATAAGGTAATAGTCTAACACCAACTACAGTCTTCCAATAACTGTTATTTTCTTGGAAAAACAGTGCTGATGCACTAATAAAATAACGTAGATCCTTAATACTGCGAGGCAGTATTTAACAGTTCCAATAACTCTCTATTACTTAACAACTTAATTTGTTCAAATAATTTTAGCTGTTTAATGTGAAGAAACGGAGAAATTTTGTACAACTCCTTACTGGACGTAAAATAATCCAATGAGAATAAGACTTTTATGGTTTTATTTTGTAGTCTCTGTAGTTTATTGATTAAAAACTCACTAGCATTTCCCCAGCAGGGAATGAGGTATCTCAAGTAGGGCTCAATGAAACTGTTATATATCAAATATTTTGAGTCATTGTTTAGTTGGTGTGCACATCTCTTTAAAATTCCAATAAAAGGTGCTACTTTATTTATTATATTTTCTATGTGTAATGTCCATGTTAAATTATCAGAAATAGTAAGTCCCAAGTATTTATAATTTGTTATTTGCATTAATATTTGCCCATTCAATTTTATCACTGGATTGCACCTTTTTTTTCCAGTTTGCTTTATTATCATGTATACTGTCTTACTTATGTTGATTGTGAATTCATTTGTGCACAGCCATTCCTGATACGAAGTTAAGTCCAGGTTCATGGTTTCTTCCATGTCTTTTTCATTCGCAGCAGAATAAACCAAAACTGTGTCATCTGAGAACATAAAGTATTTGCATTTTAGATCGAGCAACTTTGTCAACTTTATTTCTATTTATTTTTAACCATATCACTTTACGCTCAGGTAGAAACAACCTTGAAGGGGGTGTGACCCTAAAAAACGACTCAGGCTACTTAAATCAAGAAAAAAAAACCTAGGATCTCTCGTGAAAACCGCAGTCCTATATTCAAAATAGTCTCCGAGAAAATTCCTTGTGAAGATAAATTATGCAGGAATTTGTGATGTCACAACTGCCGAAATCGCAGTATTCTGTTCGTTCAGTCGTCAGTGAACCGTACCCTATACTTTCAGTGGTTGCAATTCACTTTAGGAGATAATTGTCTTCTGTTTTGAAAAATTCTTACACATGTTAATACTGTTCCTGATAATCCAGTGTGACGTCACAAACGCCTAGTTATAACTTTAAACCGCTCCAAGTCGAAAACGGATCATCGTATCAAGATGCAGTTTAAATATTTATTCTTAGATTTTTTTGCACTTAAAGTTTCATTTTTGGGTCACACCCCCTTTAATAGGGTAGGTACTGCAGTTCTAGGAAGGACTGTAGAATAACATATTGATTTTCCTTTTAAACCTTTTTTATTTACTGGTAAATAGCCTGAGAATCCCTCTATTGCTAAAAATTTTATTGCAACATTACTTATTTGTTAGCAAATTTAAAAAAAAAAGTCTAAAATCAGAAATACCTACCAGTTATTTTACAAAATAGTTGAAATCCAAATAAAACCAGAATATCACTATAATTCGGGAAAAAAACAGATGGGTTTCAAAAGATTAACATTACTACTGATTTTCATAAAATTATTTGTACACACAGTAAGTTTTTATCTGTGTTATCCACCCCTCAAGAGACTGCACAATAAAGGTGTATTTTAAACAAATTCTATTATCCTTTTATCAATAATTCAGTCATAATCAAAAAGCTGTAATATAAAAAAATACATTTTCTATTTTAGTGAATTAAAAGATTAAGTTGGAAATTCGGATGGATCGTAGTTACTTATTCACAAATTCCACAATTCAACAAATTCTACTTCCTCGATATCCTAAAATCATAAACTCATTTGCTGTAAAATATTTGAAATGTTGGTGTTTAATCATTAATCGAGGATATAGTAAATGTCTCTGTGGTGGAAATTATCAATTCTAATTATTTTTCTTTCAGATACTGTCCATGTTTTTGGTTATATTCCAAAAGTTTTGAAACATCTTTGAAATCATCAATTTGTATAATGCAAAAGCGAATGTCGTTTGACTTTTTAAAGTATCGAATGGAATGTCTGTATAAGGGAAAATTTCTGAAAACATATTTGGCAAATAATGTAATTAAAAATTTTGTTTAAACCAATGCAAAGACCTCTAGCAGCAGTAGCAGTTCCACTCCACCATCTCATTTTTCTTTACTATCCCAAATTAGAAAATCAAATACTGCTTGAACTGAAAGTAGTTTCCTCGCGTCAGAGTAACGTTTGGAAACCTTTTTTGAACACGCATATTGTCATGATGAGTCCTTTTCGTTTAGAATCACATTCCAAACTTGAAACAACAAAACACAAACAATTCTAAACATAGCTTTTCCAGTTCGATCCGCCATCAAATACATATCGCACAACAATGGATAACCGACTTAAATTTGTTATATTTGTTGTTTCATCATAAGTAATTTATACAGAATGTGCCTCTTTAATTTCGTTTCCCATATCACAAGGTTGACATCGCATCTAATCAAATCCTATTGGATTCTATTTGAGAAAAAAAAAACAGGGATTCCAGGTCCACTAAAAAGTGACTTTACTAACAATAAAAACTTTCATCAAACAAATTTCCTTTTCTAAAATTTTCTGATTACTTATCCCTTTTACCAAACTGAACATAGACATCTCTTATTTTTAAACTGACCTACTTGAAAACTACACGATTTTATGAAAAAAGATTGCAATAGGGATGTCTCTAGAAATCATGTAAGGATGATAACTTATTTAAATCTAACAATGGGACAATGGAATTTCTGAATACGCCCTACGTGGTTAACGTAAATAACCTTGGAGTCTCAGACTAAAGATCTCTGGCTTGGTTCAGGGCTCCGATGCTCTACTGTAACACTGCCTCTTCTGTCAAGATGCACCACCTTCTCTTCTACCTCTATAGTTTTACTCAGATCCACAATGATTCCATCTATTATTTTCCTTCTCCCTGCTACCAGCAGTACTATGTCTTTGAGAATAATGTCCTCCCAAGCTATGTGCTTGGTAGTGATGTGAGTCGAGAATATTCCCATGCGAATATTCGGGAACATTGGGAAGTTTCCGAGAATATTCGCCGATAAAAAATGGAAACGTTCTCCTGAATGAGAATATTCCCGGAAACTTTCAATCAAAAATTCTCA